AGTAGGGGGCAAGAACCCTAGGGTACTACCTGTTCAGAATAGCTAAGTGTTAGGTCTCATGTTACTAAACTTGGCTTGTCACAGGCTTTCCTAGCCTTAGTAAAAAAAAAATCCCAATCCTTATTTTTAACTTCTGGTTCAAGGCCAAAGCTATTTCTTTCAGCTCTCCAAGGCCTTGCTACTCAGGATGTGGTCTGTAGCCCAGCTGCATTAGCATCAGCTGGAGCTTTTGGGAAATGCAGAATGACAGGCCTACCACTGAATCAGAAACTGCATTGTAAACAAGATCTCCTTGATTTGGATGCACATTAAAGTGTGGGCATTACTGCTTGTTTGATGTCACTGCTGAGCTGGAAATCTGTTTTGGCTCCATCCACTTACATCTAATAATAATAATAATTATGATAATAACAGCTGGCATTTATTAACCATTTAATATATGTCAGGCATCATTTAATATTTTTTACATGCTTGGTTTGAGCCCGCGGTAATCTTATGATATAGGTATTATTTTACAGAGGACACAGCTGTGGCAGAGAGAGGTCAATGTGAGAGTTACACAGTAAGCCAGACAGCAGGGATGTGGAATCTAAGTCAACCTCTGTATTATCCTGCTTTCATGGCTGCTCTTCTTGCTTCTGAGAGGCACACTGATCAAGTGGCAAGAAGAAGGGTTTTCAAGTCTGAAAACCAGGGATCAAATCCTAGCCTTTTACAAGCGGTGGGACATTTATCCTGTCTGAGCCTCATATTTGGGCTCAGCAGTAATTACCACTCAGCAATAATCTGCAGGTTTCTTTTTTCCACTCACAGAACTACCATGAACTGAGTTCTCCCTTTGTGCACTGTGCCAGTCACCTTCCAAAGTAACCTTGTGCTAAAGGCTTTCCATGCTTGTAGCTCTGTCTACCTTCAAACTTCTCTTCACATCCTCTTGCTTTAAATTTCTCCTATTTTTTCATAAATTCCACATATCTTGGTAATCCTATTATTCTTGCTTCTCCTGTAGTCATTTAATTTTATGTCCCTCTTCCAGCTTATTTTTTTACTTTAAGACAAGTCAACAGCATAGCTATGTATTTATTGCATGTCGGAGGTGGTTTCTGTTTCTAAGATATACATTCTATGTGAAACAACTATGTAGGAGACTGCATACAGTCACAACTTTGGGGAAAAGGAGTCTAGAATAAGAACCTTAGATATTTAGACTTGGAAGGGTGATTAGTTTTTGACTTACTGGGAACAGAGCTTTTAATAGTATAGCTCAACATACTCTCTCGTTCCATAAACTATGGTTGAAGAGGGGTAAGTGGGCTGTAATCAAACTGATCAGAGTGTAGCTGTCTGGGCAAAAACATATTGACTGGACTTTTCATGTTTGCTCATAAGAATGGGAGTATGCTTCAGGTTAACAGAGGTCAGAGATTAATAGAAATGAAAAGCTAAACTCCTATTCCAAACCAAATCCAATATATGGGAGGAGTAAACCTCTTAAACATGATTGATTGTGGTAGAATATTAATTTTATGAAAGTAAGTAGGATTGTTGTCTTCAAGGAGATTTCACAGTATATCTTAGAACAGTCCTCATATTTGAAAGGATTGAGGCTATTTCTGGTTTCCCGGTTGGTGTGTTTATTACCAGCAAAATAGCAGTACCGTAAGAGTCAGACATTAAATTCTAGCTGGGATGAGTAAAACTCTTAGAGTTTCATTTTCCTTTTTTTCTCCCCTCCCAGCTCTGGGTTGAGAGACCACGATGTAATTGTCAGCATAAATGGGCAACCTGTTACTTCCACAACCGATGTTGCTGAAGCTGTTAAGGACAATGATTCCCTTTCCATGATGGTTCGTCGGGGAAGTCAAACTTTGATCCTGACAATCACACCTGAAATAATTGATTAAGTATCTTGATTTAAAGATAAATTATCTAACAAACCCAAAGTTATATTACCTGTTTGTATTGAAGATGTGCCAAAGATGGCTAGGGGTTTTAAGATCTTTCTTATAAAGGAAAATGAATGCTTAAGTATGAGCGCACGCACACACACACACACACACACACACACACACACACACACGGACTATTAGGTTGGGGGTGTACTGCTAAGAAGCTTTACTAAGCAAGTGGAAGAAGGATGTGGTGCCAGGAAGTCTGGAAAGCTGAGAAAATTTTACTTAAAGATAGGAACAACTGCCCTGGCTGGCTTGGCTCAATGGATAGAGCATCAGCCTGCGGACTGAAGGGTCCCAGGTTCGATTCTGGCCAAGGGCACATGCCTGGGTTGCAGGCTCGATCCCCAGTTGGGGGCGTGCAGGAGGCAGCCGATCAATGATTCTCTCTCATTGATGTTTCTCTCTCTCTTCTCCCTTCCTCTCTGAAATCAATAAAGAAATATATATTAAAAAAAAAAAAGATAGGAACAACGGAAAAAAAGGCAGTTTCTAATTTAACCTTGACAGAAGGACATTTTGGTATTGTTAAACTTCTCTATAGCCACAAACTCACTCACACACACACACACACACACAGCAGGGGTACTACTGTGCACCCAGACCTGCCTCCTGGGTTTGGCCATTTGGGCAAAGTCTGGGCAGCCCCATTGGCTGCCTGGACCTGGGCGTTCCGTGGCGCCTGGTCCCTGGGCAGGTGAGTGCCCTCCCTTTGGAAGGGCACAGGAGCCACAGCAGCCTGGCATTGTGGGGATGGGCTGGCTGGTTTGGGGAAGGAAGGAACCCCTGTCCTCCAAAAAAACAAGGGATTTCCAGACCTATGCAGAGTGTCTCTGAGCCCTCCCATGACACACGCTCCACCACTCTGGCTCTGTCCTCGGCCGCCACACTCTGGTCCTTGAAGCAGTTGGCCACACTGTGAAACTGAGTGACAGTGGCCCCGATGGTGGGAGCCAGGTGTTCCTTGCTCTTCTTGTCCAGCTGAGACCAGACGGAGCCCAGGCAGTGGTGGGGCACTTTTTTAACAGCTCCTGTTAAGTAGGGGTGTCACCGGGCTCTCTCACACTCAGGATCAGCATCCAGTCAACCCTCTCCCCAGTCCCGGGGAGGGTCCCTGGTCAGTGCTAGAGTCAGGAAGCAGAGGAACACACACACACACACACACACACACACACACACACACACACACACACACCTATCTTCCAAATATTAAGAAACAACCTGAATCCAGAGTGCAAAGAAAATGAAATTTTTAATACTATTCCCTACACGATTAGTTTTTTGGGTTGCATCACATTTGGCCAGGGTTTATGGATACAGAGGATGGATATCATTGATAAGTCAAAATGAATCTGACAATTGTGGATTGTCACAGAAGATTATTAAAGACTCTCAAGTTATCACTCTAGCAGTGGAAACAATTTTGGTCTCCAACAGCTTTTCTGACTGCAAGAGAACTTCTATAAAAGATACTTCAATAAATTAAAAACTTTACCTTTTTATCCAAGCTCTTCTTCCTGGCAACACTAATGATTTGAGTCTGAAAACTGCCAAAATGTATTCTTTTTTTACATAAAAGAAAACAGGTTTCGATGGGGTTTGTGACTTATCTTTAATAAAATTTAAAAAAAGTTGTGAGATGAGGCAGAATTTGTGGCTTAAAGTAGTATATTATTTTGGGTAAGATTTAAATTTCAGTTTGTTTTCAGGATTTCCCTTAGAAGTGAGTTAAAAAAAAAATTACATCAATAGATCCCCTTAAAACCTATGTAAAAATTTATGTGTTTGTGTATTTTTCTGGGAAGGGTCTAGTTTCTTCATGACCACAATTTAAAAAATACTGCCTTAGAGTACACAGACTATGAATAAAAATCTACCAACTATTACTGCTGTAAACAAGGTTGGGGTCAGTGTGGTACAGAACTTTTAAGACAGAATAATCTGTTTTAATATTTACATAATTGCCATCATTTAATAATATCAGAACAGTTGGTGATCATATTAATCAGGGGTAAGAAAGCTGAAATTTCTAGGAAAGCCATTTCATAATGATAGAGCATATCCAGAGTTATTTTAATTGTGATTTTTAAAAAAAAATATGTTTTTATTATGCCCTGACTGGGAATCAAACCATGACCTTCTGGTTCATAGGTTGATGCTCAACCACTGAGCCACACCAGCCAGTTAACTGTGATTCTTGGTCTTTAAGTCAATTATTATGAAACTAAACTTTGAGCAGCTCTACCTTGATTGTTTCTAGAATTTATAACTTATTCCAAATAACAGGATCTTAATTTGACTTATCCATAAAATCCCCCCTTTACTTTGTATTTAACAAAGTTCTTTACAACTTAGATGGAAAAGGATGGGAACTAAGTTTTTAAAACCACTTGTTATTCAAAGCATTTCCTTTATTCCCAGTGATCTGGGAATGCGAAAGCTTGGCTGTGGCTCTTTCTCTATGGCTGACTCTGTAACCCACAGTGAGAACTTCTGGTACCAAGCTTATTGCACTGTTTCTCTTTCTCCCCACAAATCACATCCTAAATCCACCTGGTACTCAGTAATAATATCCTTTAAGAGTCTGTTTTTCTTTCCAAGAGCACAATGCTCCCCACCTTATCTTATATAATTGTGAAGAACAGTTTTATAGTCATTTGAAATATGTTTTACCAGCCTACAACATGGGCTCTCTAAATTGGTAAATACTACTTTTTATTTTATTTTTTATTGGTTTCAGAGAGGAAGGGAGAGGGAGAGATAGAAACATCAATGATGATAAAGAATCATCAATCAGCTACCTTCTGCACGCCCCATACTGGGGATCAAGCTCGCAACCTAGGCATGTGCCCTGACCAGGAATCAAACCGTGACCTCCTGGTTCATGGGTCGATGCTCACACTGAGCCACATTGATTAGGCTAAATACTACTTTTTAGACAGGAAAATTCTGCCAAGAGAACAGACTAACCCAGACAGATCTTAAATACTGTTGGCTTTCAAACCATAATTGGAATGAAAAAAATATCTTCATGTATATATTTCCATGTATATATTGCCTCTTAAGCATAATAATGGTGAAACAATAGGGTTCATTAATAGGATAGTTTACTTAAACCACCCAGTTTTTAGTGAAACAAATACAATTTTGAGTTTCACTCTACCTACTGAGAACATCCAAACAGTGTTCCAGGTTGGCAAAATTTATTCTGCAGTTTAAATTCGGAATTTCAGTGTGTATTAAAATTCATGGCCATTTCTACTTTTGCTGAAGCTTTCCATTGGTTCTGCTTCAGTTCTCCTGTGCATGAGACTTGGGGTCACAAAACGCACAAAGCTAACAATATTCACTTCGCTCATCCTGTTGGGTCCACTTGCTCCAAAGGATTGAAGATATAGCCATGTACAGAAGTAAAGAGTATAGAAACCCTTCTGCAGCTTATAAATTAGTTGCTAGATTTATATTTTGTACATGAGAAAAGGTATAAACTTGGTTCCCACAACAGTGTTTGCTTGCCATTTCTAGTCTGCAAGGTAACATTTGGGTTGCAAATCCACAGTCCAAAAGAAATCTTCCTAACCAATCCCATTCCCTCCAAAGAGGGCAAGTAATGGTCAGGCCTGATATCAAGGAAGAGTTTTGAGCCTGTAGAGATGAATTCCGAAGACTTGCCTCTCTGGGCCATAACCGCAGCTCTTTTTAGTAAACAGTGCACCAATTGCTGCCATCACTTGGCATCAGCCCTCCAGTAATAAGTAATATAAGGTCAACAAACCACCAAATCCCAAGTCCTCCAAGTGTCAATAGTTTCCCTACTGCTGTGCCAGTGTGTCCCAGACAGAAACGATCCACTCCAAAACATCCCAGGAAGAAAGAGTAGAGCAAAGTGGTTATGAAGTAGTGTCCGGTATACCTAGACAAAAGGAATTAAAAGGAAGATGTTTACCACATGAAAATTAAAACACGTAATGTACAGTGAAAAGATGATGCAGCCAGTCCCTCTGTGGCCTCTTACTCCCTTTCCCCTCCCACTCCCCTCCATAAGAAGACCAGCAATTTTCAACCTTTTTCATCTCACGGCACACATAGACTAATTACTAAAATTCTGCAGCACACCAATCTACCAATCTGACAAAAAAATAAATATAATTTCAATTCATTCAAACTGGATGTCTCTTGTTGTGTTGGCTGTTGTCATGTTTTTATTTGACAAAATCTAAGGGAAAAGAGGTCAGTGCTCCTGGCTAAATAATCAGGTATTGGATGCTTTAGGAATTCTTGTGGCACACCAGCGTGCTGTGGCACACGGTTGAAAATCACCGGTCTAGAGTCTCAAAAGCGAAATTGCTAAGACATGGAGGACCTGTAAGAACAAATGTTGAGTTGGACTGGACAGGAAGTTATCAAGCACATTAGCACAACAGGCATCCTGGCAGGAGTGGAGTCTGGGCCCCCCTCATCCCCGCACAGGCTCCTTTCCTGAGGCTGCGGTTCTGAATGTGGTTCTTCAATGAAGTGTCGTCCTTCCTTACATGAAACACTGATCTCCATGTACCTTTTTTTGCTGTCTTGTGGCAACTAAAAACGGGGACATCTTCACAAAGACTTCTGTTTTACATACTGTGATGGCACGCAATAGCAATAGCAGTTACTCTAATATTATCACTAAACATAGTCATGGACTCTTCACTAGCAAATGGTAGAAGTAAATTCTGTGCCTTCAAGCAGAACTTAGAGAAATAAGCCTAATTCTTTTTAAGATAAACTGATTTTCAGTGAGAGAAGCCCATACTTTTCATGATAAAACCTTTGTTCCTGAAATACTAAGGCTATTTTCTCAGGATTTCTGCCTATCATGGGAACTCTGGAGCTAGATGCTCTGTCCAACTCCTTCATTTTGGATGAGGGGATAGAGACTCTGGGTGCCCAAAGGTATGTAGGTAGTTGGTGAAAGAGACATTTAGGACTTATGGCCTCTGGTCTGAAGGCCAGAGTCCTCTCTGTTATAACTATATTCCCCCATCCATGGATTATGCACAGTAGTAAGCCTGGTGCCCATTTAACACTTAAGGTAAAAGAAACAGTCACACCAAGAGATGACAAGGAAAACAGCTCTACCTCCATCCAACTACCGACTACCCCAGTCTAAATAACACTTACTTTATACAAGGTTTATTCTCTCGTAGGAAGGTCCTAGGACTGGCACACTCAATTCCATCCAGGGCCCTGCACTGGACTGATGTGTGTTCCACATCACTGTAGGCCTGACCACCGAACTGTGGAATAACAACCAAAACAAAAGAAACCAAAAAACTCACCAAAGCAAGTAACACAAAATACATCTTTATATCAATTAATAAACGCTGACTCAGGATGATAACTATTCTAATGAAGTTGGGGTAAAGCTGTGCTAAAGAACAAGGAATTTAGTGACATACTTCGAATGATTGTAAATTAATCCATCCTAAATGTACATTGCTTTAAATAAACTCTTGTGTGTTTTTCTTCTTCTTTTTTTCACTGGCTTCTTTAATAATAAAGTTTAAAAATGTATCCTCAGTTTCATTAAATGCCATTTAGAATAGATGGACACAATGCTTTAATTATCCTTTATTTATAGAAAAAAGATCATACTACTGAGCATTTGGGAATGGGTATCTAAAAAGTTGACCTTATATTAGAGGTCTGTTTTATATATATTATAAATGAACATAACTAGGAAAGAACTCAGAATATCAACTGACTCAGGACTTTATTTAGGTCATGATTGTGTGATGAACAGATATTTGTAGTACATCTACAGTATGTTTAAATTCCAGCAAAAAATTTCAGAATAGGACCTCTGACCTTTTGTGTAACTAAATTCTAGAAGAGTAAGCACAGCTGTACATTCTCTACTGGCACCTTATTAAATGCTTCACTACTATTTTTGTTGGAGCATTTCTCAAAGGGAAGAGAGTAGGAAAAACGATGCTTATTCCTTGTACTCTCCCAGGGACTCAGGTACCTGAGCGCTGCCAGTCCTCTAGGACTTTGGGGGAAGTGATAGTTTGAGTGCCTTGACAGGATCAGTTTTTAATTAAAATATTTAAAATTACGTGATCTCTAAACAATGCTAACTCAAACTTTTATCCATAAATATCGATAGGACAAAAATCTCACTGTATTGAGAATATTTATTTATACTTGATTACAATATAAGTTGTCGTTTTAGTTTTAGTACTTTCAGGTTTATTCCTCTGTATCTGATTTAGTACAAAGAATAATTTCCCGTAGGGGGGTGAGGGCATGTGCTGGGGAGTGGGAGCAGCCGGGGAGAGGTCAATGGGGGAAAAAGGAGACTAACGTAATACTTTAAACAATAAAGAATTTTAAAAAAAGTAAAAAAAAATATTTTCCCATAATTTTGTTACACCTGTGTCTTGACTTGCGTTATACAGCAAATATAACATAATGGTGCGTCCTTAATGGGGAGAACGTACATGAATTTCACTAGTTTTTGGGAGTCTGACTAGGCAATGTGCACCTAGCTTTAGAGATATTATTAATGGAACCAAATAGCTTCTCTCCATTCAAAGAGGCCATTGTTACTAAAGGTTTCTCCTTGAATCCTATAATCTCCTACAAAGACATCCTATATAATAAAAGCCTAATATGCAGATCAACTGAACAGCGGAACGACCAGTTGCTATGACATGCACTGACCACCAGGGGGCAGATGCTCAACACAGGAGCTGCCCCCAGCCCACAGGCCCCAGGCCAGCCAAGGGGGGTGGGGAAGGGACATTCCCCCACAGATTGGCCCTGACTGCTGGCCAGGCCGAGGGATCCTAACTATACACGAGTTTCGTGCATAGGGCCTCTACTATTCTAATAAGACCCTGCACATTTCTGGATGAGTTTGCTTATAAAACAAAACAAAAACCCACCTTGAGACAACCATAACCAAGTTCCTGGGATGCAGTTGCATTTCCAACATGATCCACTGGGTCTTCACATTCTATGAATTCATCAGGTCTATAAATCACCAGTAAGATCATGATCATCACATGGTCTTTGCAATTGGCTGTTTACATGTATACAATCAAAACAGGCAAGAGACATCTCTTTAAGTTTTCTGGTGTTTAATCTCACTCTGATTCTTCCCCAAGACAAGAGATGGTGTCAATCAGACTGAAGCACGGTGGGTCAAACAGACAGCCATCCATCCAAATGACCCGTTCATTGGGGCAGGGGTTGTTTCTGGTTCTATTTCTGCACGGATTCTACTGCTGCCATAGCTTCAACTCTTGTCTGGGAAAACATCCGCAAGGCTATGGGGGCAAGATTAAGGCCAAAGGATTCCCAGTTCTCCTTGCATTTCCCAAACGCCTTTTCTTACTTGACTAATAAGAGATGTTAAAAAATGACTTGGTTTTGTAACGGTAAGTGTATTTCTTTCTCCCCCCATCCCCCTCCCGGAAGTACCTTGTAGGCAGGGGCAAGTAATTTACTGCATTTGTGGCTCACACAGCACCAGCCCCTACGAAGGAATCTCTTTCGGGTAAAACGAGGGACAGAGAAGGCACCACCTCCTACCCTACCCTTCTTCCGGAGGCTGTATGATGTCACGCCTCCCTAGTCCTCCTCCTTCGGGATGCCAAAGGACCTGTCACCCACACTCCAGGTTTCCCCCTGCACCGGGTCGAGGGCTGAGAAACCTGCATGATATTTACCTCCCGCGTGTGGACTATCAGGTCCTCAGGTGGGGAGGATCCGGGAAAAACCCCCAAAGCATCCTTCCTCTCCTCCTCCCCCAACACAACACCCCCTATATTCCTTGCCCTCTCGCCATCTCCACCTGTCTCGACGACTGGGTAGCTTACAGGAAAGAGCACAGGATGACTGGAGAGGTGGGGTCGCCATATTCCCAGCTCGGAGCGCCGGCGGAGACCTCCGGGTGGGCGGCGCCAGCGGACGTGAGCTCCGGCTCCGCGGTAGCGTTGAACGAGTGGCTCCGGGAGACACAATGCAGCAGAAGCAGATTCCCCAGCAGCAAGGCCGCCTGGCCGCAGAGAAGTAAGTAACTCACCGGGCAACCGCCCAGCACCATCTTCCCAGGCCCAGCGGCGGACACCGGGCCTCCGCAACCACAAGCCCCGGGAGGCACCGGGACCGGAGCCCGGCCAGCTCAGGCCTCTTCC